GGGGGGGGGGGCGTAGCCGAGAAAGTCATGTTGTCTTAAAGGCGCGTGTGACGGTGGGAGGGGGTGTGTCTGTCACTGATGGAGGACAGAGGTGTGGACAGGTGTTTTAGCAGGGGCTTGGCTGTGAGCGACCCCCGGGGCCTGCCCTTGGCTGACTCTAGTCCTGACTCCCCTTTCTCCTTCTTAGACCTTTGTCTTCACCGACAGCCCAGATGAAGGCCTCCAGGAGAGACTGGGTAATTCTGGGTGGGGTGGGGGCCCCTCAGCTGTTACCAGGGAAAGGTGGGGTGGCTGTCCCCTGGCCCGGGGCCCTCAGGAAACAGGGCTGCCCACCCTTGGCATGTGGGGATCCCCTTTTGCCCAGGATGAGGGGCAGGCTTCTTTGCTGGAGACAGGTATGGGTTTGGGGAGGGTCAGCTCTCCCGGGCCTCAGTTTCCCCGTGTGTAGAATGAGAATGCTCCAGGCTGTCTGAGGTCTTGCTCTGTATTCTCACAGTGTGCGGGGCTGTGGGAAGGACCTGGGCAGGGTCCTCTGACTCGTCCCCACTTCTCCAGGGTCCCACCTCGTGGTCACCAACTGCTCCGCTGAGCACAGCCACCCCGCCCTGTCCTGCAAGATGGCTGCTGAGTTCGACACCTTCTTGGCCAGCGGGCTGAGGTGAGTGTGCCTGGGTCTCTGGGGACAGCTGTGGCCTGTGCCTCAGGCTGGTTCCTGAATAGGGTTTTGTGTCAAGAAAGTGAAGTTTGCCTGGGTCTTGTGAATCTCATCACGTAGGGCCTCCTGGGGTCTGTCTCTGGGCAGACTGTCTGGGTTCAAGTCATGCCATTTACCGGCTGTGGGATCTTGGGCAAGTGTCTTAACCTTGCTGAGTCTTGGTCCCCACGCGTTAAGTGGGCACACTGTTCTCGGGAGCTCACACGAGATGCTGTCTGGCTCAGACCGTGTGCCTTAAATGTCAGCTACTCTCCCTGATTTTGTTGACTTATTATGGGGGGGGGGTCAAGGGGAGCCTGGTTGGCCAGCAGCCCTTGGGAACCCTCCTCCAAGCTTAGCATCCCCCCCTTGGATCCCCACAGGTGGTTCTGCCACGTGGATGACGACAACTATGTGAACCCAAGGGCACTGCTGAAGCTGCTAAAAACCTTCCCACAGACCCGCGACGTCTACCTAGGCCGGCCCAGCCTGAACCGGCCTATCCGCGCTTCGGAGCCCAGGCCGCACAACCGCACGGTGGGTCCCTCCCTTCCTCCTTGTGCAGCGGAGGCCACGGGTGTGGGCTGTGGCCAGGCCGGGGGGGCGGGGGGATGGGGCAGGCAGGGGCAGGGCTCGGAGCCCCTGGTATCGTCATGTAGTTGTATATCAGCCGTTCAAGTGCCCAGCGCTGCTGGGCCAGCTGGCCGATTGCGCTGCCCGCAGCCCCTGAGCCCCTCCCCTGCGCACCCCTCCTGTCTACAGACTAAAGAGGTGACACCTGGCCCAACGGGGTCCCCAGCTTCAGCTCCAGACCTAGATGGGCACTAATGAGGACTGTCAGATTTAGGGAAAAAACCAAGCCCCGAACCAGGATGAAAGTTGCATTCGACTTTCAGATAAATAGGGAGGCATTTTTTTAGTAGAAGTGCGTAGCATGGTTCTCTCCGGGTCCCCAGGCCCCGCCAGGCCCCTAGGGGGCTCCCTTGGCCCCAGGGAAAAGGCTAGTGAGGGGGTCCCCCTCCCTGGAGGCAGCGTATGGAGCAGGAGCCCCAGGCTGTAGGGCTCTCTGCCTCCCCGGCTCACCATCTGCTTCATCAGGGAAACCAAGAGCAGGAAACACAAAACCTTAATTATCAGCGGCTAATGGGGCCTCTGAGCCCTAATTAAATCCTCCCGGGCCCTGGGTGTGTGTGTGTGTGTGAGAGTCGGCTCCAGGTGAGCCGAGGGGTGCCCCAGGAGGCCCCCGCACCACCACACGCTTGGATGGAGGGGTTGAGAACCCTGCTCTGGAGCCCGACTCCCTGGGTTCACGGGCCACCTGTGCCGCCTCCTGGTTTCGTGACCTTCGCTGAAGTCATCCCGCCTTTCTGTGCCTCAGTTTCCTCACCGGTGAAATGGGCGATCAGCGTCCCCACCTGACGGGGCGGTTGTGAGCAAGATAAGAAACAATTTAGCGAGGTCACCTATCCAAGTGCTTGGGATGGGACCCAACACGTGATGACACTAGTAAGTGTTAGCGATCGGTACCCAAGCCAGCTCGGCCTTCCTCTCTGAGCCTCATGCTTCCTGAGCAGGTTCAGTACTGCTGGGCCCACCCAGGCCCCGACTCCAGGACGTGCACGAATATTCTTCTTGCACAGACTCCTAGGCGGGATTCCCTAGACTCCTCCCCAAAGTGTCCTAGCCTGTTCGGATTCTGGGGTACCGTCTGGGTTGTGGGGGGGAGGGCAGCAGAATCGGGCAAGAGCTCCGGCTTGGGCTCAGTCCCAGCTCTGGGACCTCGGTTCTCTGCACCTCACTTCTCTGTACCTCGTCAGCTCATCTGCAGCACAGGACCCCATATATCCGTGCGCAGGGTTAAGGCACGTATACTTTACTTTAATTGTTGTTGTTACTTTAATTATCTGGGAGCAGAAGCCCTGAGCCCACAGTTCACTAAACAAGCATCAATTGGACACCTACTGTATGCCAGGTCCTTAAGAACCTGTTTACCCTGCTTTATCTAAGAGAGCGGCATTTCCAGAAGTAGCTCATGGAGGTGGTCAGGAGGAGGACACAGGGCCAGGAGAACCCTTGGGTTTCACAACCGGGGCAGATGCACTCACAGGTGACAAATCTGCGATCCAGAGGGGAGCAGTGACTTTCTCAAGGTTACACGGCTGTGCGGTGGAGGAGGCCGAGGCCCCAGACGCAGGCTTCCCGACTTCCTGCCCAGGGTTCTCACTGCTGCATCAGGAGGGATAACCCCCACCCAATGCCGCATGCATCAATTAAGCACCAACTGTGTACTCGGGAGAGGGTAACCTCAGGGAACTTGTTAGTCACGAGCGGGTGTAGCCGAGAGGGTATGGTGTTTGCCGAAAGCCTTAGAGAAGCTCAGGAGTTCTGGCTTCACAAATCCCCACGGAGGAGGGGGGGCAGAGAGTGGTTTACACCCCAAAGGTACACTCATGATTCCTGAGATGGCGATGTCAAGGGGTTTGCTGGCCTCGGGGGCTCGCGGGCCCGTCTGTCCTTCTCTCTTTCCTCCATGGGAGGCCCCCTTCTCTCCTCGTGCAGAAAAGCTTTCTCCCTCCCAGGAGCTGTAAGTGGCGAGGCCAGTGCCCCTGGCCGGTGATCGTGGTGTCGGGACTATCGCTCCCAAGCCTGGAGCCATGCTGGTTGGGGGTGAGGGGTGGTCTGGCCGTTGCCCCCACCCCCCAGGCTCACCCTGAACCTTGGCCCTCCCCTACCTCTCCCCGCAGAGGCTGGTACAGTTCTGGTTTGCCACTGGGGGCGCTGGCTTTTGCATCAACCGCAAACTGGCTTTGAAGATGGCCCCGTGGGCCAGGTAAGCAAAGCCCCAAGGTGGGGTGGGGGGGGAGGTGGCAGGGGGAGGGGAGGGCCTGGTGCGGGCGGCCTTCGCAGCAGGAAGGGCTCGGGAGTGAGCCCCTGAGGACCTGTCTGGCATTCATGCTGTGTCACAGAGTTACACAGTTAGTGGTGAGCAAGCCACCTGCCTTCCTGCCCTCAGGGATACACTGCCTAGGGCACTGTGCCACTCACAGGCGAGTTGTGTCATCTCTGGGAGCCTCCGTGCCCCCCCTCTGTTAAAACCTAATAATATAATAGCTAAGGGCTGTTGTGGGGGCTAAATGGGGAAATGTTTGGGTCGGCACCTGGTCTGAGCCAGGCAAATATTAAGTCCCACGTGCAGCCCTGTTCTTCCGGGTAAACGTCACAGGGGAGGTGAAGGCCAAGTTTAGGGGCATTCAGAGGAAGGAAGATGTAGGGCCTTCTGCCTGGAGATGGGAGGAGGGCTTCCTGGAAGAGGTGGTGTTTGGACTGGGATAGCCCTAGGGGCCCCCAGAGTGGGGTGGGAGTACTGGTTTTCTGGAAAGCAAGCGGCAAAGGCCTGGCCTCTCGAGGTCTGCTTGGAGAGGCTGCTGAGAGAGGCTCTGAGCCAGGCCTGTGCTTCCCCAA